TAGCAGAAGTATGAGAGAATTTAAAAGGATGATCGAGGAAGATGGAAAGAACGAGGAGGAGGGAGAATTTCGGATAATAGAGAAATAATAGAGAAGGAAAAAACTGGGCCTCGAAGAAAAATATTCATCTCAGCTATTTTTTTTTTTTTTTCTTAACTACTTAATACGTAACATTTATCACCATTTTCTCTTCCGTTTCTTCGTGATCTAAATTTAGAAATAATACTATGTATGTAAATCTATTTAGGACATTTGTTTCAAAATATCTACACTGTTTTGATTCGGTATTTCCCAGAAGATTTATTTTATGCCTCTCTTAAATTTTTGAAACCATATTATCACTTACTCATAATCTCTGCAAGTTATCCATTAAGGAATGATAATAAAGTGAGAACAGGCCTAAATCCGGATTATACCAAAGAAAACGGATAATCCTCTCGGGTTAACTAAGCTAAACTCAGAAATCCTTACTGGATGGTCGGCGTCGAGATCTGATCCATACATTAGAACCTTCTGGAAGTTATCGAGGTCGCTGATCTTACGAGGAAACCAAGGACACATGTCGCCGAAATCTGTAGGAAGATGAAAAAGACAAAATGATAATAATAATAATGTTAATAATGATGGTAAAGATAATAATGTTAATAATAATAGTAATAAAAATAATGTTAATAATTATAGTAATAATGATAATAATAATAATGATAATGAGGAATGGCTTAGAAATACGAAAGTAAATATTATTGGCTTTACTTTATTTTTTTCTGTTATAATTTATTTGTCTTCTATTTTCGTTCTGTTTTTACTGCTTCTATTCCACAATTATTCATCATGATTCCCCCTTTTTTTCATATCATATTCTTTCATAACCTATTCCTAACAGGGGGAAGGGAGGAAATCAACCCTTCACCCCCCATCCTTCCTCCTTCCCTCCCTCGCTCCCTCCCTCCCATCCCTCCCTCCCTCCCTCCCTCCCACCCTTTCCATCCCACCCATCCCATCCCATCCCTCCCTCCCTCCCTCCCTCCAACCCATCCACCCCTCCATCCTACCCATCCCTCCCCTCCTTCCCTTCCTCCCTCCCTTCCTCTCTCCCTTCCCCCCACCTCTCCCCCACCCATCCCTCCTTCCTACCCTTCCCCATCCCACCCATCCCCTCCATCCCCTCCCACCCCTCCAAATCCTCCCTCCCACCCCCACGTACCAAAGCTCTCCTGGGCCATGGGCGTGGGCGGGGGGAAATCCTCGCCTTGGTCGTAGTCGTGGAGGCTCAAGCACGACATCTGGCGCTGGAGGATGCGGGTGAGGTTGTCCATCTTGGAGTTGTCGCACTCGATGTCCACCATGATCTCGTACTCGGAGTGGCGGCGCCGCGATCGCCGGCTCTCGATGTGCACCACGTTCACTCCGCGTTCCTGTGGGGGTGGGGTGAAGTGGGGGGGTGGGGGGAAGTGGGGTGTGGGTGGGGCAGGGTTGGGGAGGTTTGGGAGGTTGGGTTGGGCGGGTTTGGGGGGGTTAGGTTGGGTTATTGAGGTTGGTTGGGCGGGTTTGGGGGGGTGGGTTGGGAAAGTGGGTTAAGGGAATGGGTAGATGGGTTTGGGGGGGTGGGTTGGGGGGTGGGTTGAGGGAGTGGGTAGATGGGTTTGGGGGGGTGGGTTAAGGAGGTTGGGTTGGTGGGTTGGGGAGGGTGGGTTGGGGGATGGGTTGAGGGAGTGGGTAGATGGGTTTGGGGGGTAGGTTGAGGAGGTGGGTTGGGGAGGTGGGGAGGTTGAGGGGAGTGGGGGGGGGGGGTTGTGGAAGTGGGTTGGTGGGTTGCGGAGGTGGGTTGGGATGGGGAGTGGAAGAGGGTTGGAGAGGTGGATGGTTGGGTGGATAGTAGTGAATGGGTGGGTTGGGATAGAAAGGTATTGGAAACGTGGATAGGTGGAGGGTGTTAAGGAGGTGGATGGTGTGTGTGTGTGTGGGGGGGGGAGGCGAATGGAGGGTTGTTGGATGAGGATAGAGAGTGGGTAAGGGATAGATTAAAGCGGTAAGTGGGGTTTAGGGAAGCGAGAGGATAGGCAGGAATAAAGGGAGCGAGGACAAAGGTAGGCGAGGATATGGGGCAAGAAGAGGATAATGAACATAAACACTGATGAAATGAAGTTCCATTTAACAACAAAAATTCACCTCACTACATGCCTATTAATCAAATCACCAACAACCATCACACTTTCTAAAACAAGCCAAATAAACAAACAAACATACACGCCTTTCATCTCTTTTGTCATCCCCCCCCCTACACCCTCTCTCTACACCCCCCCCCACACCCCCTCTCTCTCTCTACCCCCCACCCCCACCCCCCCACCCCACCCCACCCACTCCCCAAAGCACTCACCTGGAACACCTTGAGCGCTTTGGCTAGTCCTCCAACCTGGTTCTTGAGGTTGAACACCAGCGAATTCTGAGGAGGATGGAGCACCTCAGCATCCTTCTCCGGGGAGGCGTTCCTGCTCTTGCTCTAGGGGGGGGGGAGAAGAGGGGAGACTTCGGTAGTTATTTCTTATTATATTTAATGAATACTATTTTATTTTATGAATACTGTCATGATTGTTGTTATTGAGAGAATGGTTTTTCAATTTGGGTAAGGAGGGCACATCGTTATTAAAAATATATATATTTATTTATTTATTTATTTATTTATTTTTGAGAGGTGATGAATAAGATCGTGTTTTTTTATGATCATTATGGCGAGAGAATGATTATTAGTGTCATGGTGAGAGCGTTGTTAATTTTGGGCGGGGAGGGGAGGCTTCGTTAGTTGTTTTATTGGATGAATAGTTCATGATTATTGTTGTTATTAAGAGAGAATGATTATAATGTTGTCATTGTTATTAATTCAGGGGATGGCTAGTTATGTTTTTGTGTAGGTTTGACCGGTAAGATAAAGACTGTGATGTAATCTTATGGGGCGACTCAATTTTATGGGTCGGTTGCTGCTGGCGACAGAAAATTCATTAAAAAGAATCTTTCTGGTACATTTACGTATTCTGAAATTGTTTTTTCGCCTTTGATATCTTTCTCTAGTCCCTATTTCTAATAATAAGAGTGATGAACAAATTACAGAAGCACAGATATGATCAGACACACCATGAAGTTATAGGAAAGAACAGAGGAAATTAAGCCGAGGGATGAGATAGTGTTCGATGAAGATCAACATGGTTTCACGACAAGAAAAAAAAGAACTATGGATGTGATATTTACTGCGAAGACTGACAAAGGAATATATAGAATGACGAAAGGCGTTACTTTGTGTGTTTAAGGAATTAGAGAAAACTTGTAGCCAGGTATCGGGTATGAAAAAAGGATCACGTGAATATGTTCAGGACGTTTATGAAATCAGTTTCCACGGAGAGAGAGGAATTGCGATATTGCATGAGGCTATTAGGTGCAACGAATACATGACGAGGTGCACGGTATGTATAAGGACGGTGAGACAGCGGTACGATATGTGGCAGGAATGATGGATGGGTTTAAGATGCAGGAAAGCATCAAGGATCGGTTCTGAATCCCTTCTTGTGTGTAACGTCGATTGTCTGTTTACTTCTTCTTACAGCATACTTCATTATACTGACTAGAGAGGTTCTGAATCCCTACTTGTTCGTAACGGCGATGAATATTTATAGTATTGATAGATAATTTAACACTGATACAATATACCTCTTGACATTGACTAGAGAGGTTCTGAATCCCTTGTAATAGCGGGAAATAGACATGAGATATTGACAGACAAGATCAGACAGGGAATCTCTATTAAGAATATTCTTAGTGCAGTACGTTATGATCTATCGTCTAGTAAGGAGCGGTTTGAAACAAACTTGGAGAGACGAAAGTAATAATTGGAGAAATGGAAAATGGAAAGTTAGCAGAAGAGAGACATATATATATAAACGCAAAGCTGAAAGTGTGATAGATAGGTGAAGAAGAGAGAGCGAGCAGAGTGGAAGGAGTGATTGATGATAGGAGAGTATTTTCAAGTGAAAGTCGAGAAGATGATAGTGAGGCCAGCTATTCTGTCCGACTTTGAAGTAGTGCCGTAAATCAACAATACCGATGATGATAATAATTGCAACAGCAGCTACAAGAACGTTAATAACAGTGATAAAGATAATAATAATGATGGTAATAATAACAACAACAGCTACAAGAACGTTAATAACACTGATAAAGATAATAATAATGATGGTAATAATAGCAACAGCAGTAATAACAGCATGAAAAAAAAAAAATCACAAGACTAATACTGGAATTACTAGAATATTATTTTTTAAATATAAATTCTCCAGTTTTAAACGAAATGAAGTAACGGGAAGAATGAAGATGTATGAATGAGAATAAATATCTTCACAATACAAGGGGAGTAAAAAAAGAAGAAAACAACAGAAAGATGGGAAGATAATGTAGGAATAATGATATGAAAGAAAAAAAAGGAGGGATAGAAAATGTACAATTTGTTAAAAAATTGTCCTTTATAATAAACATCTAATCATGACACAATGTATTGTTTGTTTGCAATTGATATTGTGTGTGTGTGTGTGTATGTGTGTGTGCGCATGATTGTGCGTGCAAGTGTGAATATAGATAGATAGATAGATAGATGGATAAATTCTCGTGCCTCGGTGTTCGCAAAGAACATATCAACATCAACCAACAAATCAAGAACATCTCTCAATAAAGCCCCATAACCACGCCCATCCGCGCACACGCCCACACAAACGAACACACGCCCATATTGACTTTACTTCCTGATTAGTTCAAGGAATCAGCAAATGGCTCCCGATTTATCTTGAAACTTCTTGATTTTTCTGACGGCAATCTGTATAAACTTAGAAGGTGTCTGATTACAGAGGAAGATGAAGGGGTGGAAGAGGAGAGAGGGGGGGTAGGGGATATAAATAGTTAGAGGGGGGATAGAGGCAGAGAGGGGGAGGCGTGGAAGGGACAGCTGTGTGTGTGTGTGT